CAAAGTAATTTTATTTTGAAAAAAATCTCATTATTATAATTATTTCATTTCTATACTGATACACAGCCAAAGTTATCTTAGCCTGCTTCAACAAAAATACAAGGGGAAGAAAGAGAGGCTTCTTGCCATCTACATATTTCTTAGTGATCTGATAGAATAAGGACCCTTCTCCAAATCTCATCAAAGCTGAACTTAAAGGTGGAACATAACAGACCTTCCCAAGCACAGAAGTGTTGCAAATCTTAAGCCGCAGCAAAGATGCAATGAGAACTCTACAGCTTGTACCACTGCCAATGAAATGAGCAACATAAAATATTATTTCCTCCCTCTGTGCAGTTGGTTAATTTGATGTGGTTTCCTTCATCACCAATATATTTAGAACCATTCTGGGTATCAGAACAGGAATAGGGAATACAATGTGACCCTCCAAATGTTGTTGGACAACTCTCATCAGCCCTGGACAGCATAGCCAATGGTGACAGATGAGAACTACAGTCAACATCTGTAGGGCCACATCCCCAACCCTGTATTAGAAGAAAAAAATTATTCCTCTTTGTCCACAACATGCAAGTTGGACAAAACTAGCAATTTTAAAAATAAAAATGTGTATTCTAACAATATTGTTCCTATTGAAGACAGTGAGACTCAAGTCATGACTACCTTGCCCCACAGATTTCAATGGGTCTACTCTACATATGACATCTAAATTGAACCCTTACCATCGATATACCCAACATGGGCATTTTATTTTCAACTGTTAACCAGGACCATGGCAACAACAATCACTACACCACCAACAACGCTATTAAATTGCTCTAGTTTGTTCAGTAACTCTCAAAATTTACCTTGACCTACCAGTCACAGAAATTAAATGTGATTCAATACTTGATTTTTGCGATGGTGATTCTGCACCAAGAAAAAAGCAAAAAGGAACAATACCAGAAAGAAAAGGAGAAGATGAAGTCGCACAGTTCATAAGTCTCCTTATTCCCATATTCAACCACACAAACATTAATAAATTTTATTAATCATAAAACAAATTTTACATGGGAATATTTAAACAATCTCTCCACTTTAAAAGAAAAGTATGTAAAAATGGATACCGTGTGACTGTATGAATGGAACAATAGTAACTATTCCTCTATTTCAACTTCCAAAGGTGACCAGGGATTGTATGCAGAAAAGGGGGCCGACTGAGGAAAGATGGAACGCTCCATTCTTCCTCTGCACTGAACACGAAAAACAAGGAGTCTGCAAGTGCAGGGACACCACTCTGCATCTAATAGAGAGGTGCAGCAGTATACTTTTCCTTGGTCAGTAGCCCCAACTGGCCAGTACATTTCTTTTGCAGGCTAATGATTGTTTTGGGTGTATTTAAAGGGCTGTTATATTCAGTGTCAAATTAATGTGATTGGCAGTTAGATTTGCACCACTGATGATGGCACATAAATAAGAGACCTGAGTTAAATCAGTCTTTTAAAACCAGTTCACACTGACACGTCACTCTAGAAAACCTAATAAAAGATAAAAAAAACACATGTAGGATCTGGATCTAGATTCGGCCAGAGATACTAAGCACGTGCTTTTTATGCAGGTGTTTCCTCTACATGTTACTGTACAGAGGATGCAGATTGGACAAAAGGGAAATCATACTTCTCACAGTGGGTGGCAGCCAGTAATATACTTCTTTGCTCTACATCTTTACCTGTCCAATCAGAATGTTTCTTTGAAGTTTACTCATGCTCTTTAGCACCACAAAAATAACTCAGGCTTTCCCACTCTCTGTTATGCAACAGTGCACACTCAAGGGCCTTTCTGTTCCTCAGTGTAACAAAGGGACACGTTTTTGCTGGAATGCAAGCAAGTTCTAGACATGTTCTTCTGAACATTGATTTAGCAGTTATATTCACCCTTGCAGCCAAACAACTCCACTTGCATACTTATAATTTATTAAAAAACTCTTCTGATATTTTTCATTTCAGTATGTATATTACACTGTCAGCACCGAACAACCTACACACAAATATTAAATGCCACCTTCTGTTTACTGATTCAGTATCAGATTTCTGAATTTAAATTCTAATTGTTATGCACTTCTCTAGCCAAACAATGGGAACAGTGACACAAATTGGTATGTAATACAAGGCTAAATGTGTAAGCACTCTGCTAATTATAATATGCAAGAAGCAGTGTCTGTAAAGGACAAACTTCTGTTCCAACAAACATTATTCCTGCTACTTCTAAAAATGAATGCTAGCACATTCATATTCAGCACAATTTCTGGAAGAAAATAGCATGGGCAAAATTATTGTATCTTGTCTTAATAAGTAAAGGTATGCATTAGCTTTTACTCTGAATGTGAGGCCCCTTTCACAAGCTTGATTTTTTATTATATTTATTATACTTCCCAGCGGCCAAAGCTCCTATCCAGATTATTGTTACCCCAGCTTCAGAACAAGCCAAAATATTAAAGCAACTTCAAACAGTGCTTTAGTATCCTAGCTTGTTCCACACATTGGCCACAATTTTGAAACTTGTTTCAACAACATTATAAAAATGTATTACTCTCAAAATATTGGTCAGGAATGGTAGTTAACTAGTAACAGAATGCAACATACCTGAAATAAGGACTGATTGCAGCGAGAACATTTCGATGACAGGAAAAGGTTTTCCCATGATCCACTTCTATGACAATATCTGTCAGCTGTCCTTCATCGTACATTGTTTTCAGCTGCTGGAGAATGCTACAAGCATGGAAAGGATCCATACCACCACTGACTGTGCTTGAAGCAGGAGTTCCATTCAATGTTTGTGAAAACTTGCTCTGTTCTAGTAAAATGTTGAAAGAAATGGACTTAGCATGGAGTAAAAGCCAGTACAATACAACAAAATATCATTATACATTGAAAAGCCTATGTGTTATTGTTCCAGGAATAAAAGCACCCCATGAAATACTATATTATGAACAAGAACATTTACATTCCTTTATCTTTGTTTCTATACTTAATAATTATATTAAATATCATAGCCTGTCTTTTGTTTGCTTTTATTCTTACACATCCATTGACTTGTTTCATATATCCCAGCAAACCCAGTTGGCTCTGCAACATGAAGAAGCAGCTAAACAGGCTGAGGTTTGGTTAGTCATGCACAAACCAGGAAGTCTGGCTTTTCTCCCCCAACAAGCCAGAAAAGCATTCTGACTGTTCTTGGGTTACCAGAGGTCATGGTTCACATGCAACGCCAACCAAATCATAGGCAGAAGCTCACTTATTCTGTCAAAGGTATGCTTCTTGCTTGTCACTGGCAAGTGCACATGGGAGATGGAATGAAAATGAAACTGACAAAGGACTAACAACATACAGATAGCATAGAGCAGGGGTCTCAAACTTGCGGCCCACGGGCCAATTGCCAGGACGGGCAGGGCACGGGGGAGGGGCCCTGAGGCCTTCAAAGCGCCGGCGGCGCCCGGGCCGGCCTCCGGGAGCGACGCGGGATGAGCGGCCCACCACCACCGCTTGATGCGGCCCAGCCTCACCCAGACTCTACTTCCAGCGGCCCCCAGGTCAGTTGAGTTTGAGAGCCCTGGCATAGAGAAAGCTTTACAGATACAGACATGGAGCACTGATTTCAGAGGAGTGCAATTCTGTGCCCTCTGAGTATTATCTTGAGGGAACCATAGGATAGGCTGGAGTCCCAACTCTGACCTTGGTAAAACGTTTCAAGGTGGGAGCTGGGGCTCCAACATTGGAGCCCCCCCCCCCAATTCCATCATAACCAGTGCGTTCTTTCCACACTGGCTGCGCTCTAAAGGTAGAGATCATCTTTGAAACCAGCACAGGAAGTGTTCTGGGGGTACATCATTCTGAAGGACCCCAGCAGGGTCTCAGCCTCTACTCTTTATGAGTAGAGGAAAAATATTCTTGAGGCAAGGGGCACTCCGAGGCAGCCCTAGTCCTTCCACTGAACACCCGAAATCCTCCTGGTTCAGAGCATTATGGACTGCCACACTGAATGCCTCCCTAAAGAATTTTCTAAACTCAATTTTCAAACCAACCCCACTAAATGTGAATAAATTTAGCTTTGTGATAACTATATATCCAACAATTTGTGTATTTTATAGATGTTGTTTACATATAGATTTATACTAAAGTTTATTTTAAACAGATTCTGACAATATAAACCACTAATACCACTGCAACAAAGATGACTTACAAAGTTTGCATGAACACCAAACAAATATATGGATAAAAATCAGCAAGGTGGCCACCAAATGCATGTTTGGACTAAAGGTAGGTCCTAGGATCTGAAAAGTTTATTGACTACTATAAACAATCTTAACAATAGAATGAATTCTTTGCATAATTATTCCACATTGTTTCACACAAGGCATTCAAACAAGAATGGCAAACAACAACTCAGATGGGACCACATCCATCTCTATTCTGTCAAACCTTGACCTAAAATTAAACTAGTACAAAAAGGATCTAGAAACATGATGGACTATGTAACACTGTAGATTTACTGCAAGTCTTAGCTTCCCCAAGATTACTTAAAGAAACCAACCCATGAACAGAAGAGTTATAGCATCCCATTCCTCCATCTACGACTGACCATACTAAATGCATTTATACACATTCATTTTTGGTAAAAAGTTTGAAAGGTGACACTGAGCTCTATTCTTCCCTTAAATGAAAAAATAGAAGCTTGAACATTCACAAACAAAAATCCAGTAAATCAGAAGTAGTGAATTCTGCATTTTGATATCAAGGAGGTATCTGAGGGAGCGCCTTTCTCCATATATACCCTCCCAATCTCTACAATCAACATCCAAGGCCTTCCTCTGTGTTCCTCCCACAAGTGAAGTGAGGGAGGAGTTGGCAAGGAGGACGGCATTCTCCTGCATTGCGCCCCGATTGTGGAATCTGATTCTGCAGGAAATTAGGCTGACGTCAAAACTGTACTCCTTCAGATGCCAGCTGACAACCCGTTTTTCCCCCTACACGTAGTCTGAAGGGTAATCTGTTAGCTCTGGTTTTAAATTTGTTGCTGCTACCATTTTTAATTGTAACTTTATGTTTTTTATTTTGGTTGTCAATTATGTTGCATTATTGGATTATTGTTTATATCCCCTCTCTGTTTATTAACTTTAAATAAATAAATAAATAAATGATTTACGTTTTATTATCAGTTCTATAATTATTGATATTATTGTTTTATTGTATCATTGTATTTTATTATGTGAGCTGCCCAGAGAGCCTATGGCTAACTGGGCAGCACAGAACTCAAATAAATAAGGAGGTATCTCCTCCTATCACTTGTTCCAATATGGACAATGGTAGGATTATTAACAATGCTTGCCCACTGTTTGACTCCCAGAGCCTTCTTACAGTTTGTGGCAAGAACAATCCTTAACCTGATCTGGCTAGCCTCCTCTACTTTAGATGAACGGCAAACTCTTCCCTCCTACCAAACGAAACGTGCACATCTCAGTCTAGTGTGCCACCAGACAAAGACTGCCCTTTAAATACAAATGCTAAAAAACTGCAGAGTACACATTTCCCATTTTCCTTCACACTGCACTGATACTTTTAGAATAATACAATTACTGGGGGACAGGGAGAAGCAAATGATAGCAAGTTGATGACTCACTAAAGGCACCTCTTCCTGATCTCTTGCTGGACAAAAGTGATGTGTATGAAGGGCAACAGCAGTACTGCAAACATTGTTTTCTATCCCCAAAGGAACTGATAGGATTTGATATCCCTCCTCATTTCCTTACTGGAGATCAGCAGTAATTTGATTACAAGGACTAAAGCCTTTTAAAAAATCTTACACACTTTCATTTCACACTTAATTAAAGCTCAAGAAATCTCAAATCCTTGGAAAGAAGAATCCAGTTCCCTAAAGCAGCAACTGATTGGCATTTCATGTTCATCATTTGAGTTTTACTGACTTGCCACTTCCCTACTATGAGAAAATAAAATTGTATCAGACAAGGAACTTGCTAGTGATCTGTCACTACTAAATCTGTGCAAGGGAACAAAAAAAGAAAACAAGTATAACAACCCTTCATATGGGCTGCTAAATCTGTACTTATATTTGAGGCTATTGTACATAACAGTGAACTAACATCCATAACCAACTGAGAACATAATGAAGGCACATTATGCAAATACACATTGCATTATTGGTGATATGAGCTAAACAGCCTTGAAATCATTACTGTAAAAATGCCTCAATTGTTAAAATATATCAAAAACAAAATTCAGTCTTTACAATTTGCAAGGAGTGCCCAGTGAAGCGACAATTGAGCAACATTTCAAGAACAAAACCTGTCTTGTTAAAGCAACAAAACAAGCAAGGATTCCAAAAAGGGAAAGATGAGGCATGTGAAAATATTGCAAATCAGGTTCTGCTACCAACCAAGCTTGTACTCAGCACAGCTTGGATTTTAATTTAGAAGACACCTGCTTCCACCACAAGATTTGAGCATTTTAAGGAGATACTTCCCCTGCACACAGCACTACGAATTACTACTGAGCAGCTTTAATCCCCTGCTCAAGTCACAACCTTCAACATTTCAACGTTTAACACTGTACAGCAAAGCAGATTTACAGAGCCAGCAAGGTGTAGTGCTATACTGGAATTCAAGAGATCTGAGTTCTAGTCTACTCAGCCATGAAGCTCAGTGGGGGACTTTCAGCTCACAGAGTTGTTGGCAAGACAAAACAGAGAACAACAACAGTCCACACATTTTGCCTAGTCTTAGAAAGCCAGCCAAAATTGATGTGCACCAGAATCTATCCTTTAAAGGAGGAAGGGCAGGACCTTCTTGACATTTTCATACTGTGCTCTGCATGAGCTCTGAGCACCTAGGATAACGGATGGAGGCCAATGTCAATACTCTGTCTTGTTCAGCAAGTCCTAGTTCTGTTTGTCTGGGTCAATCACACTTATTTGTGGACTCGGAACAATAACTGAGCATGAACTCCTTTACACAGGGGTACCCCATTAAAGCCCCCTCCTGTTTACTGCAATGAGTAATAAACTCATTAAGGATTTAAGAACTTCACATTAGATGAGGACTCCCCCTGCTCCCTTAACCAAGTGTAAACCACCTTGGGTTCCAAACAAGCAGGAAAAAGTGGGATATAAATGAAATAAAAAGTGCTTAAAAGCACATTCACCAGTTTCTACATGCAACTTCTTCCTGTTTCTTTATATCCAAAACTGCCACGGGGGAACACATATCCACGCCGGTCAATATGACAATGTTACAGAAGGGGCTTACCACCTAAGTCAGTGCATTTAGGGCTTCAGTCTTATTTCTGAGTTGAACACGCCTAGGATTAACCTGAAAGGCTTACTTGGGCCACAGCTCCATTGATATACAGATAGCTAAAGGAAGCCACAAGGGAAGCATTGCCTCGGTAACAAAAGCGCACTTTTAGTGGGAGAGAAAGAAGAAAAGAGTTTTTAAGAGCCTTTTGAAACAAGCAAATAAATGGCACGAAAGCCCACGGCCTTGAGAGCAGGATCGGATTCCACCCACCACATGCAGCCCCCCCCCCCCCCCCCGCCCAGGCCACTGCTCCCCCCCGTTCTCTCAGCCTCAGGCCCCCAAAGCCCCTCACGGGCGCCCTTCCCCCTCGGCCCCGCCGGCCCGGCCCGGCCCGGCCCAACCCCCCTTCCAGCCGCCTTGAGGCCCCGGCCCAGTCGCGCCCACCTCCCACGGCAGCCATCCTGCGGGGCGAGCGCGGGAAGGCAGGCCCCAGAGAGACTGTCACCACCGGGGGAGGGCCGCCACTACTTTCCCCCTCCGTGTTCCCGTCTCCGTGGACCGCGGATAACGCCGCCGCCACCGCGGCCTCAACTCGGCTCCGCAAAGAACGCCCCACCGCGCTCGCGAGCGTGGATTGGTGGGCGAGGCCCGGCCGTCGCTGGGAGTTGTAGTTTTCCAACCGGCTTTGTCGCAAACTGTCGCCCTTCCGCGTAGTGCACTTTGGGAGTAGCAGTCCTGGAATTCTCATTCGGGGAGACGCAGCTCTTACTAAGAATAATCAAATAATTCTTATATTTTTTTTGTTCCCCCATTCACCCACGTATTTGCGCTTTGGATAAGGGTTACCCCTTCCCCCCACACCCTTTCTCTTTCCCAAGTTTATTACATATTGCTTATTACAGTAAATATAACTGCCGAATCGACAAGTTTACTACTTTTTGGAAAGGTGGTAATAAAGTTGGAGTAGTCGATTTCTAGTGTTGAGTTTCTGCTAACGAGTTGATTAGTGATGAATCGGGACTGTATGTTATTTCCATACTGTATTCTTTTTCTCTCCCTCCTCCAGGTGTTTCATACAGGATTCTTTATAACGTAGTTTAAAACTTTTATATTGCATTTTCTCATACGCACTGGTTTTATTTGTTCTGAACAGCCCAGAGAATTTCATCCGTTGGGCAGTATAGAAACAGAAGAAGAAATAGAAACTACATATGTTATTGCAACATTTAAATCAGCATTATTACTAAAATAACTGAGTGTGAACCTTTTAAAGGTCCCTGCTAAGACATGAAACTCACTACAGAACATTTAGTTAGGATAAGTAATACAGTAAGACTTACTCCCAAATAAATATGAATAGGATTTCACAGGATCTTGAATTAGCCATTATTTTCCATGTATTTAGAACAGGGGTACTATGATGATCAGTGACCTGAATCATACAGGTTGGGTGTAAACCTGTAAATTGCATGTAAATCAATGAAAAGGAGACGTTTTTAACACAGGCTTTTCTAGATGGTAACATGTCAGCAAGTTTTTGTTCTCCTAAATCAAATTCTTCTAAATCAAAGTTTCAGAGAAAACTTTAAGGCATACACTCATTGGCTTGTAATAAGCGTAATTTGTTGCCTTAACCTTTTCCCAACAGATAGAACAAGTAGAACAATATCATGAAGACTCATGCCTGAGTTTTGCCTTTTTCCTCTTCCCTCTCAACCCCCTTTCCTTTTGCATTGTGTCTTTTAGATTGTAATCTTCAGAGTAGGAATTGCTTCATTAATCTCCGTAAGTTGCTTTGGGAGCCTTGTTTGGCTGAAGAGCATGGCTCCCAATAATAATAATAATAATGGTTGTCAAGTTGCCAGCAAGAGACTGGATAGGTGAGAAGTTTTCTTAATCATGGTTTGTTCAATGTAGATGCCATGATTAATGTAAACTATGCTTTGCAAATGTATTTCACATCCTGGTTTGTGACTAAACCTTAATCATGGTTTGAATATTCAGATAAATCATTTAATCATATGTAAGGAGAACATGCTTAAGTGTTATGCGTTCTATCCAATGTAAATCTAACAATGTAAATCTAAACCTAACAATGTAAATCTAATTGCTTTCTTTCGAATGGGTCTAAGTTAATCAAGACAAACAATGGGTACAGCTAATTGGTAAGAAGAGAGCATCACAGGGCAGTGTGTAAAGGAGGCCCACTGACAGTATTTTACCAGTCATTTTTATTATTTTCTGATTACAGGACTATAGGAAGTCATGCTTTCATATAAGGCTGTTTTTCAGAATCTGGAAAAGACTCGCATTTTTCCAAGCAATGTTACAATGTAGTGTGTATCCCTGATAAACATTAGGGAACTAAATAATTCCCCATTTTTGTTTTTGCTTTGGTTTGGTTTTTTACCAATCCTGACAGGTAACTTCTAACTTTGGAAGTGCTAGAAGAGTTGTATTTTGGCCTGGGAATGATGGTTGCAAACAGCACTGTTATAATGGTTGCAGCCAGCCACTGATCATACTTGTTTTTATTATGATTTAATGCATTTTAATAAGATATATGTGGAAAATATATTTTAAATGTTAGCTTTGTAGAAGAATGTTCACTAGGTTAATGTTAATGTTTTTATTCTGTTTTATATTGTACACTCCCCAGAGAGCCTTGCGGGTTAATGGGGTCATTTATAAATGCAATAATAGCAATCATCATCATCATGCATGCATAGATTAGAATGGAGAGGCCCTGAATTTTTTAAAGTTTACAGTAGTTATAGTAGGCCCTTCAGAGCAGTTTACAAAAATCAGTGAGAGACTGTATGCCCGAAGGCACATACTGTCTGGACACCCAGAAAGAAAAGGGATGAGGATGGAGGAGGAGAAAGCAAAACTCAGGCACTATTTTTTATTTACAGAAACAAAGTAAAAAAAGAACATTGAGAGATTTTCAACAGAGCAGTGGGATAGAGAAAAGCAATGATGGGAGCAGTCTGATGTTTCCTACTAAACAGTAGTATTGGTAATATACGAATGTTTGCATATGATCCTAGTTTTATCCTAAAAGCCCTAGTTGTTGCTTTTCAAGCACTTCTCAGTTGAAAAAGGAGGATTAGTAAGATTACAGCTGCTATGACTTTCAGATGCTAGGCAATATAGAAAATAACTAAATAAATAGGTTTGTTTGTTAAAAGAAAACCCTAATTACATGCATGGACGTGGGCCACTTGGTGCTCTGAATTATATGGGCAACTATACTGCAGATAATATACACTCTTTTTATTTTCAGTAATGCAGGAATCTAAGCATTAACTTTGCTAAGGGAGCAGGGCTTTGGAAATTATAGTAAATATACTGACTTGAAAAAGTGTAATTTTGAGCTGCAGTGACAAGCGTTACTTTCAGTTTCAAGCACTGCAGCTCCAAAATAGGTGTTAACTAACGAGGAGTGTATTAATAATGCCAATTTCAAAAGAATAATCCTAGTGACATGGTGAAGCAAATGTACTCTACCCCACTGCAAGTACAAGATACTTCTGAGAGTAAATCAGACCTACTGTTTGAGAGACATGCAATGGAGTCATTGGCTAATTGAAAAAATAAAGTTGAATAAATCACCAAGCCCAGATCTTAAATGTCCCCATTTTGCTTGGTGGCCACACTAAGCAGGACTATGGCCTTCATGCCACAGGCTCTCAGATAAGTTTCGTGGGTGACGGTTAAAAACAGGGTGTTGGGTTAAATGAGCCTTTGATGTGACCAGCCAGATTACTTTTCATGTTTGCTGCTTTTTGGATCGGGTTTGTTCTTATACATCACCTTGGGTTCCTATCAGGCAGAAGTCCAAATAAGGGCACCGTCTTATTGATGGCATGTTTGCTGCTCAGAAGCCTCCAAACACAATCCAACATCCCAACTGGATTATTGTAACACACTTTACATGGGGCTGCCTTTGAAGATGTTCTGGACATTCCAACTGGTTCAAAATAGGGCCGCACAATTGCTGACAAGAACTAGTCTGCAAGCCCATATCAAACCAGCTTTGTACCAACTCCACTGGCTACCAGTGGAAGTCTGGGCCCAATTTAAAGAGCTTCTATTTACATATAAAGCCGTAAACAGCTTGGGTCCAGGATACCTAAAGAACCATCTGCTCCCGTATGTCCCTACTAATCCATTAAGGTCGAGCCAGGAGGGCCTTCTGAGGAACCATCTCCTTGGGAGGTGGGGGATGACAGCCAGAAGAAGAGTTATGTCCTGCCTCTAGAGTAGGCTCCCCAGAGAGGTGCACCTGGTGCCAACACTGCTAGCATTTCGGCGCCAGGCAAAGACTCACCTTTTCTCCAGTTATTTCAACAATGGATTTAATGGCTATCTGGTTTTACAATTGACCCCATGCTGGTTTCAGTTAATTTTAGTTTAAATTGTTTTGTTTTATGTATTATATTGTGTATTAATTTGATTATCTTTACATCTGAATTATACTGTTAATATTTTTGAATATGCTGATCGAATGTTACTGATTTTCGAGTGTTGTGTTGCTTTTATATTGTGACCTGCACAGAGAGCCCAGATATGGGCTATTGTAGCAGCATATAAATCCATTAAAGTAAACAAAATCTTCACTTCTTTCTTGCCTGATTTTTGCTAGAAAGGCTTTTCAGCCCATCTTGTAAAGGTCCTTTTGATGGGTGGGGGGAGAAGGCCAGAAGCAGCTCAGGATAGATAGTACCAGTCTCCTCCTTTCCTCGCCCACCAGAATCTGCCCTTTCCTCTTCCTCTGAGGCTGCTTTTCCATCCTTGGAAAGAGAGCTGGCACAGTTCTGTCCTCCTCAGCTGTGAGGCAGTGGGAGCTGAGGTCAGATCTCCATAGAAGCATAGAATAGTAGAGCTGAAAGGGGCCAGAGGGCCATCAGGTCCAACCCTTGTTCAGTGCAAGACTCCAAGTCAAACCATCCCTCTCAAGTGGTTGTCCAGTTGCATCTTGAATACTTCCAGTGTGGCAGAGCCCATAACCTCCCTAGATAATTCATCCCATTGTCGTACTGCTCTAACAGTCAGGAAATTTTGGTCGATAGCTGAACATCTTCCTGATGTTCAACCGGAACCTGGCTTCCTGTAGCTGTTATTCCATGTCCTGCACTCTGGACTGATTGCAAAGAGCTCCTGGCCTTCCTCTTTGTGACAGCCTTTCAGGTACTTGCGCAGCGCTACCATATCTCCCTTCAGTCTTCTCAAGGCGGAACATGCCCAGTTCTTTCAATCTCTCCACATATGGCTTCATTTCCAGACCCCGAATGATCCCTCTTGCCCTCCTCTGAATCCTTTCCAGCTTGTCTGCTCGTTCCTTAAACTGTGGTGTCCAGGACTGATGACAGTACTCCAAGTGAGACCTAACCACAGCTGAGTAAAGTACAAATGGTATTTCATGGGATTTGGAAGTGATTCTTCTGTTGATGCAGCCTCCTCCTCCTGAGGTCCAAGCTCTGTCTCTGACTTTGGAAGTGTTTCAAGGGCACTGGGATGCTCTCTCAGAGATCATCGATTTCCTTGCTAGCACATTTTGTGAAGCAGTCCTAGGACATGTGAAACAACAAAAATGCCCTCCCCTT